GTTGCTAATGCACAACAATCCACCTCCCAGTAGAAAAAGTCCCTGGAATTCTTGCCATTTTTCCCAAGATCAGAGCAGATGCACATCTCTTCCATAAATCTGAGGCAGGGGTGCAACATCAGACATTGGAGGAACAGACACTATAAGCTCTGCCAGATACAAAGAGCTTCTGATTATTGATCAGGGGGCAGTTCATTAGTGTTTAGGTCTTATCATTAATTACTGCACAAAACAGGTGAACAGAGAGACAAATTATTCACTGAGCTGTAAAAAACCCAAAGGGAAAAAAACACACGGCAAGGCAGAGTGAATTACTGGAGCCTTTTACAGCAGAGGTGGCAACACTCAGGATCCCACACCTGAGTATGAACCTCAGAGATGTGTTCTCATGTTGATACATAAAAGCACATGCACCTTTCTAGGCATTTATTTTTATATGGCAATTCTGAATGTTGGTTGTAAAAGGAATAATATACACTTGACTCATTCAGCAAGCACAGCAGATCTTGTGCACTGATTGCATCGGGGTTTTTTTGTGCAAAAACAGTGTGTAATTGTGCAATTAAAAATCTCTAGCAGCGCAGAAACAAACGTGGATGGTATAGTCTGCCTCCAATCCAACTGCAGCTAACACTAAAACACTTACCTGCAAGATAAAAACATGTTGTGGGGTTAAGAACTACAACAGAAGGCTGAAAATCTATAACTGAAATACTCACTAATCATGTACTAATATGGTTTCACGAATGATGTTATCACAGAGATAACACAGAAACCTGTCTGATGATGCAGAAATGACCTTCTGCTTCAAACCCAGGTTCACAATTCCCTCAACTTCCTGACTTCTGAACCACCTGTGAGGACCATCTACTGCTTGCAGTGAGTTTGATATCAACAGCAAAGCTCCCTAAATTGTAAGGCCTTCGTTGAGACCTGTCATTTCAGGTGACAACCCTGACACCTCATTCTACTCCACGGTGGGACTGACAGAATCACGGAAACATTTCTCAAAAGGGACTTTTGGAGACCTTCAGTCCAACCTACCACTCACCACCACCAGATCTGGTGAGCCATAACTGTCCAGCCAAGTCTTGTAAGCACCTAAAGGATGGATCCTCTGCCACCTCTCTGGCGTCCCTGCTTGCTTTATTTGTACTTCTGTGTTACCATTTTTTTCTCTTACTGAAAAATAAATGAAACCCCTCTGGAAAATGGTTTCATCTTTGGGAAGGCTTAGCAGCCCAAAATAACATTATATTGAATTATTATACATAATTATATTGGCTAGTCTATCTGCTTGACTTTTCTCATAGCAGTTCAGAACAAACAAGGGTGTTTAAAAGTACTTCCCAACCGCTGCTTTTCCATTTTACAATAAGTGGTTCTGAGGAACTAAAGTCTTCTGTTTCACATTCACAGCAACTACAGCTAATTTCTACACAAGATTTGTTCTAGGTCTGTGAATATGGGCTGGATTTTGCTGGGATGAAACCAGAGGGGCATCTTCCTGCTACAAAAAATATACAAATCAGGGTGTCCTGATTGGAAAAGACCCAAAAGAGCTACACTAAAAGGAAATGCATTAGGAAGAGCATTCCCAGCAGGTCTGGGAGGTGATCCTGAAAGGAGATGGGGCCACATGACCCACTGTGGTCCCTTCCAACCTTCTAAGTTATTATACTTCTTTTCCTTATCATCTATACTGATAATTTGTGGTCCAAGATACCAGTGTAGCAAATACTAATTCCTAAGTAGCTGCTTTAGTGCATTGCAAACTTGCATTTCCAAATGGCTGCTCAATGACAAGACTTGCATAATTAACATTTAAGACTGTTAAATTTTTGTGAGTGAGTAGAGGCTCGATCTGGCACTTGAAATCTTGCCTTTGAATCCCAGGAGAGTCAGAGAACTGGTTTCTGAGACAAAACAGTGTCCCATTTCTTCTGTGCAATTAAAAATAACCACTGAGTTTTAGATAATAATAGTGGACAAAATACCCAAGTGCTATTAAAAATATTTAACCACACACAAATGGTACATATTTAAAAGACCTTAGAGACTGACATGTTATGCAAACCAGTAGAGCTCTCGTGGTTTAATTTGCAACTAAAACATGAACATTTTAGTACATTAGTACAATCTAATGTGTATATAGGTTATAAATATATGTGTGTGTGTGTTTGTGTTATAGGTTATATATAAAAATGCAGATGGCTACAGGCAAAAGACAGTAAGTTAATGCTGGTTGGCATTCACTCAGACCCTACTCCAATGTTCTCAAAGTCCTTTGCAACTATTGATTAACCTGTTTTATGCATCTTGAACTTCTAATTATTTATAAAAAGGATAAAGTAACACTAATTATTCATAAAAAGGATGAAGATCAGCACTGTAACCAGAAATGGAGAGGCAGGATTTGGGGCCCCACTCTTTTAGGTTCCAGATAGCTCACCTTCTAAATGTCATGTGTGGACAGCAGACCTAAACTGTAATCTGGAGTTCTTCAATTAAACAAATCCACTCAAAAAGCTAGATGTGTATTTTCAAAGGCAGGAAAAGAAAATTACTTAAGGATACTAGACAGGCAACTCAAATTTAGCTTTGAGTTCTGAGATCTTAAAGAATTCTAAATTTTGAAGTGTTCACTACGCCCATAAGCACTTTCTAAAGGACTGGCTTCATAATGCGAGGGCAAAAAAAGAATCACCGCGGAAAGTTCAGCAAATTTCTGTGGTTTTTTAGAGCTTACATTACCACAGTGTAGAAAGAAACTGATTTCCCAGAGAGGCTGTGACAAAGCTCTCTTTTTAGGGTGAATGAAGCACAGGGACAGAAAGAGATGCTGAAGAGCAGTAGTGATCAGCAGGCACAGACGTGTACTACAGCCTGAAATCTAGCAGACAGCTAGTTTAACCCACACAAAATAGCTGCTTCTCTTCCCAAGTTTTCTGGCTGGTGGGTTGGCTGATGGGACTTTGCTACTTCTGCATCTGCTGCTCTGATGGATTAATGACAAGCCACTTATTACTGCTATTATTGTCAGTGTTGATGTTTCCACTGGACATGTCACCAGCTGGCATGGCAACTTCATTCAGCATTGCCTTACAGCAAGCAAAAAAATCTCCCAGTTTGGCTGGAAGACTTTCATCAAGACTTTCTCCCATATGGAGTAAGCAAATATCTTCAAAAGACCTTGCAACACTCATCTTCCAGGACCATAAGGGGGTGGGAGATGAGTTAGCAACGCTGTGAAACATGTACTGTGGAAGTTGAGATATAACCTGAAGTTGCATAAAAGATGGAAAGGAAAGCAATCTCTTTTTTTTTCCTTGAAGAACAGGTCATGCCAGATAGCTCAGACAACTTGTGCAGCGTGACAGAATTTGTGCACAAAGGGAATGTGGCAGATCTGATTTTGCAGAAACATTATTTATGGGTTAGTGGGTGGACAAAAGTTTCCTCAACAGATTTTTGCAGATCTAATCATACACAGAAAGTTCAAATGGCTCCCTTTAGCCTCTACTTAGTGCTGCTTTATGGATAGTGTTTTGCTTTAATTTAATTTCTCTAGACTTTTAATAAGACTTTTGGTACTTTAGTGCCTTGGAAAATTATTCCTGACACTGGAAATATGGTGCCTTGGTTATGAACACTGCAATGAAGATATGAAGTTGCCAGACATATTGTAAACAGAGCATAATTACAGTATTTAGAGTTGAACATCAAAATGGGAAAAGATGCCAAGTGGCATTTCTCAGAAGTTAATATTGGGACTGATACCATCTAATATCTTCCCAAATAATTTGGAAAATGAAGTAAACTGCACATTGACTGCATACAGGGGAGATGCAAGAGGAAGGTGAACTACAGCACAGCAGGTGGGGAGGTTGAAAAGAAAAAACAGAAGGATCTGGAGATCTGAGAGGGAGAGAGAAAAGGGTGCATTTAAGAGGGAAACTATTTCATGTAGAATAATAAGCTTAGAGAAAATTAACACCCATCTCGAGTAACCAAATGGGAAAACGCCAATTTTCATTAAAAAAAAAAAAATCCAAGAGATTTCACAGTTTATTCACACTGAAACTTCACATTGGGGTACATGCATCAGGTTTGACAACTTGTTTGCTACATTTCAGCCTGATGTGATTTTAAAAGGAAGAATAACAGATTCCCTTCAAAACCTGCCTTTTAAAATGCAGTTTGACTTATTTTAAACGTATACCAAATGCTCAAAAAAGACCCAATTTACAGTCCTGTTAACAGAAATAACACAGAGTAATGTATCATTAGGAAGAGACACAGAAGCAGCACATACAAGGTCCAAGGTGGAAGTCAGGAAGCCAAAATCTGATACTGTCAAAGAGTTCTAAGTGATCACTGTGCAGTAGAGCAAAACCTATGAAATACACTGATTTTTTTACTTTAGAAGCTCAACTCTACCTCGGGGAAAGCTATTACTCTATAAAGGAAAGATTCTGAGGGATTTTTTTTTAAAAAAGGCCTTCACAAATGCTGAAATAAGTTAAATGACTACTGTATACACGAATGAACCTTAAAGATTGTCTGCACATTAACCATAAATATTACCTGTAAATTATCTATCGCCTGCAAGTTATCTATTCAACATTATCTGTAGGATAGAAATTGCCAAAAGGATGTACCCTTGCAATAAAAATTAACCTCTAATTAGATAAACTCGCCAAGGATAGAAAACATACTTTATGACACAAAAGCCCCCTACATGGACTATGCTCCCGGCTGAGAGTTTGAAGAGCACATTTATCTTTCCCCCATCATTATTTGGTTAACCATACCCACAGAAAAGTACATTATTTTGTCACAGGAATGATTCATTAGGAGAAAATTACACAAACTTTACCAAACTGAGTGTTACTTTTCTTCCTACCACAGCAATCCAAACATAGCTGATGCACACAAAATGGCCTGATGTGACAGCAATCAACAATAGTATTTTTAGGTATGCTTAAAAACCTGCTTACCAAGGGGAGCCATATATTCTGAATCCCCTCACCGTCACTTCAGAGTCTTGAAGATAGATGCAGTTTGTTAGAAGAGACTGTACATTTTCATAGCTCTCTGGCTTCAGCTTAGAAACAGAGGGGAAATAGTAAAAGTCCTGCTTGATTAAGTCAGCCATGAATTCCTGGTCAAAGGTCAATTCATGATTTCCTGCTATCACAATCTTGTATTCATAGGGCAGGCTACCTAAAACAGCGAAAAACAAACAAGTTACTTGTTTTATGGAAGATCTGATGGGAGAAAACAGACAGACAAACTGTTATTGATTCCTGTAATACGCTCACATACTTGAAATGATAGAGCACGTCCCTCCTCCACGTTATTGTAATTCCTGGTGATTCCAGGTAAATGACATTACTGCCTCTTCCATGGCACACTGTGATTTAGCACGCTTAGCATTAATGTGTTGAAATTACTTTCAACTCATCAACCTTAAAAACCAGTCTGCAGACTTCTGCTCTACTATTTACTTCTAGCTAATTGCCATTTGTGCTGCAAGTATCATTTACTGTGACAGTGATGATAACTCTTTGACAGAAATTAGGGTTCAAAGAAGATCAGCTTCGGAAAATCATGTCAGCTCCCTTCTCCCAGAGCTCAGGTCTTTGTCAGCTTGTGCTGAAGAGCTTTAACACCCTCACAGCTCGGGTCAGCCAGAGGAGTCTGCTGCCCTCTTTGCCCTGACATTAATATCAAGCCTTCAAGGAAGGCAAGGATTTGGTTTAGCTGTCAAAAAACCCACATCCCACAGATAAATCTCGCAGTCTGTCTCTATCTCGTGTTTTTCCCCTGCTCCATTTTCTCAGTGACTTCCTCGGATCCATGGACTATAATTTAAAGTGACTCATGCTCGAGAATATTTTACAACCCGTATTTAGTGAAAAACCTTAGCACAGCCTCCTGATGAAGGCAGGGATAGATATGCCCACACACGTGGGTTCTTCCTGAGAGCAGCACTGAAACAGAAACTTTCCACCTGACTCTGCCTTTGGTTATTCCCTGGATTCTGCCCCTGGGAGTCGGCATCACCTGCCTCGAAAAGCTCAACAGAAACCTTTAAGTACATCTGAGAGGAAACAAAGACAGAACCTGGGTAAAGCTGCATTCACTGGCTTTGTTTGTGCCCTGTGAATTTGAAGACAGTCAGAAGTGGAGACTGGGACCAGAAAAGAAGTATTTTATTGAAAATCGAACTCACCTTGCACAGCAGCAATCTCGTGGGGTTTTTTAATTCTAAAAGGGTCTTGTTGTTAACACAGAAATCTTTAGCAGTGGAAAAAGTTGGCATGATAGGACTTCAGAATAAAATACAACAGTGTGATTCAGAGTCAGGGGAACAGAAGACACAGTGCTGAACTTTGCCAGATGAAAAGATGGGGGTAATTCTTAAGTACAAGTTTCAGACACTTGTAACACCTGTATTAGGAAAAGTGAGTATACAGATTCCAGTCTTTCCTATGGACCTAAGACATACGTGTCTTTAGAACATTTAACAGAAACTCTTTTTCATGCATTTATTTAAATGTTGAAGATCCCATCATTTACCTGAAAGACTTTCCCTTTTTGCTTCTCAAACAGCCTTTTGCAGATGTGTCCTCCACCCCCACAAGTTTCCCAGGTGTGTGCACACATACACACACAAGTGGAAAATGCTGTTTACATGCTGCCATATGTATGGGCATCTACAGGCCTTAAAGAATTCTTGGGAAACAGGAAAAGAAAGAAACCCTGCATGCCACAATATTGCTAACAATTCCATTTCTGTTCTGTTTTGTAAGTCTTTTCCAGCTCATCTGATCCATCCATCTAGCAGCCAAGAACCTGTGTGAGCTGGTTATAGTTGTTGCTTCCGCTAATGTATTTATGTCATGTTGCTGTCTGTGGGTGTTACTTAGGCAAATTAGCAAATTACTCTAAATGTACAGTTACATTTATTATAGTGGCGGCCAGAAGTGCTGCTGTAGTTACAGGTCTGTCAGCTTTTCAATTAACAACTGTGTTTTTTGATGAGTTTGCAGCTCAGTTTGCTGTTTTGTTTTTTTTCTTTCATTCCACATCAGGCCGTGGTAAAACTATTTCCCTCTCTTTGTCTCCTCAACTATTCCTCTTTGTCCTTTAAATATTATTTAATTAAAAAAAAATTTTTAAAAAAAAAGATATTTTGTTCAAACCTTTTTCCTTAGAAGACTTTAGAACATGCTTTCTTTTCACTCCAAGTGTTCTTGCAGCACAAAGTCAGCCTTAGTATAAATCTCTGAAACCTTGTTCTTGGCTGGGCACTGCTCTCATGAACTGTTATGTGTAAAAGCAGATGCAGATGAAGACCCTCAGTTATCACATTTCCCACCTTCCCTGCCTCCTGTGTCATCCACACTCCCCAATGTTCACTCCAGAGTGCTTTGCAGTAAAGCACAGTCCCCAGGGGGACCAACACCCCAATCTAACGTGGTGGGTCAGCACAATCCTGAGAAATGAATGTTCCAAGTGCCTTTTACAGGAGTAAGATCCACCAAACATCAGCACTATCTGATCAACACCTACCTTAAAACTACCTTAAAGCAGCAACTCCTTCTTGCTTCTGACCTGCAACTTCTTACTTTTCCTTTTTATGCATTATTAATTTCTCTGTATTTTCTCATTCCATTATGTCCTTCCAACACAAATCCCTACTTTTCCACCCCGAGGCACAGACTACTGCACAATTTGTAGCCTTGGCTTGGTCCTTGGTTACAACCAAGACATGCCCAAGACATGGCCTAATAGCTGCTGTATGGCAGTGTTTGTACACGAGTCCATACCTTCAGAACAACCACATCTCCATTTTTTTTAGGCCAATCTTGATCACAGATTACTCAAACACTTCCAGGTTGATCAGTTTATTCCCACACCTGCGCTTAGGATGGAGTAGCTTCATCCAAGAAGATTCTGCAGTGTGTTTTTGTGTTTTTTGACCCCCCCTCTGGAGTGTAGGAGTCTTTCAGTGAAAGAAAAACTGCTGCAAACCGAGGCAAGTCCAGCAGAGAAGTGTCAGGACGGCTGGGGAATGTAGGATATGGGGAGAGACTGAGATCTGAGTCTGCTCAGCCTGGAGAAGGTGGAGGGCAGACCCTGTTCTGTCTGCAAGTGCCCAAGCTCAGAAGAAAGAGAAGGCCAAGCTCTTCTCAGAGGTGCAAAAATGGTGACAAACACAAGTGGGAACATGGTATAAGGAAAGAAGGAGGATGGTGAAAGAGCAGAAGTGCCCAGAGCAGCTGGGAGGTGTCCACCCTTGAAGACACTCAAAATTGAACTGGACAAGGTTCTGAGCAGCCTCCTCTCTAACTGGCCCTGCTTTGAAGAGGAGGCTGGACTCAATTCCCCTCCAGAGGTCCCCTCCATCCTGAGGGGTTCTAGATTATTATTAATCTACACTGGAAAACAAACAAGAATTTTAAAGAGCCTGCAATGGTAAAAAAAAATAAAATAAACCCTCATTTTGTGTTGTGATTCTAACGGAATAAATCTAATGGAATAAATCTCTCCCAGGACTGGAGAGCACATTCCATTAAGTTTGGTGCAAGTTCCTCACACTCATTTAGCAGATGAGTAGGACTAAATACCCAACTGATAGCCAATTAACATTTGATGCCAGCATATGGCTTTGCTGGTGGGCAGGTAGCAAAACTTGCTAATACAGGAGCTCTATGTAGACAATGACATTACAGAAAATTTATGGCTGTCGCAGGAATTCTGCACACATATCCAGGACAAAACTAACTCCCCAGAAAAATTAAGGCAGCGAGCACGTAAGGAACAGATCTGCCCTTCAGGAGTGCCAAGAAACAGATTCAAGAACATATGCTATGAGAGTCAAAGATGTGATTTCAAACAAAAAAAAAAAAAAAAAAAAAAAAAGGAAAAATTATGAATTTGGGGGGAAGTTGCATTTTTTTTTCCTGATCTCTTCTTTTGACCAGCCAAAACAAGATTAAGTGTTTTTGCCCAAAGACCAGGGATCCTCCTGTTCTTGGCGCCTGAGAAGATTCTGCTAAAATATGCCGTAGTCTGGACACAAACTACAGCTAGAATTGGTTGGAAAAGTTTTACCTATACATTTTTCCATATTAAAATTATTAAAATACCACTTGGATGGAATGGGATATATTTGGAAATTCATGTAGTGATTCTGACATTACCAAGGAAACAAAATGAAGCAAAATGTCAGTTTAAAATATTTTTGGGTGAATAAAAATTTCATTGCTAAGCAAAATTTCACTTTTTATTCTAGAGTAAGGGTTTGGTTGTGGTTTTTTTTTCCTCTCATAATGTTTAACTAGAAAGAAACTAAACTTATTTTCCTCCATAATCAACCTCTAGCCACTTCATCCTATTTGGAATTTGGAATCAAAAGAAATGTTTATAAATTAAAATCCTGTCAGGAACACACTGGCTCAAATTCAGTGCTGGGCTTCAGAGGTTCCTTTTTCAGGTCACATCCAACTTTTGCCTTCTGCCAATTTGGGATGGGACTCCAAGACACCATCATTCTTTCAGCCTCTATTTTAACACGGCATCAGGGATTTTCCTCATCCTTTTCCTTCTCTGCTACATGGTACTTTATCTTTCCTGTCTCATTTTCCCCTTTCCTTCCCATTTTGTATGCAATAAAACACTGGACACACATCTTCCCCTTGATTTAGCAGTTTTAGCAAAAGATACCTTTTTCTTATGGGAAAAAAAAAACAACTTGTAGAAGTACAATGCTTTAGAAGACAATTCATCACACAAAAAATTCTGCCCTAAATTTCCTGCATCGATAGAATTCCTTATTATTTGAGGTTATTTTACCATCAAAAAGCCTGGGATATGATATTTAGCTCATAATTAGCTTATATATAGCCAGATGGTATTATCATCTTACAAGCTTAACTACAAGCCCTCCTCAGAAAGTTTCTCAGCCTTCATTTGCTCAGTCTAAGAATCTGATAGGAGTTCTGGTAATATAACATGTATAAGAATATATATCTATATATATATATTGTTTAGCTAGTAACATCTTTGTTTATTCCTTTCATTACCATAGATTGCTAATTAAGAAAATCAACTGAACATCTAATTTTTGCGTGTTTATGCACCAATTACAAAATGATTGCGGCCATTTTTAACTCCTAAACTACAGCAGGTCCTTTTTATGGCGAACATAATTT